GCGGGGTGCGGGCAGGAGGGGGGAGCGCTGTGAGGGGCAGGACGGGGGGCGCTGGGTGCCGGGGGATGGCGGAGCGCTGTGAGCGGCGGCCGCACCGCCCGCCTCGCACGAGCGCTCCCGGCGCCGCCGCCAACGCCGTTACCGAGCGAGCAGAATAAGCGGTGGCCATGGCGGAGCAGCCACGGCCCTGCCCCGAAGAGACGGCCCCCGACGGGGCTCCGGAGATGCCGAACGTGAGTGTCTTCGCCGAAAAGGTCCCGCCGGTACCGCGGAGCTGTCCCCCGCTAGTCTATGCCTTTCCAGGGAGGAGTCCCGCCGAGGGAAGGGGCTGGAAGAGGGACAGTGTGTGGCGGGGGAAGGCGCAGCTCCCTCACTGCGAGTCCCCTCTATCCCAGAAATGGGTGCGGCTTCTTCCCATCCCAGTCAGAACGGGGACAGTTGGACAAGGTCCCGTCCGTAATGTCAGATCCCGATCTGACTAGTTGTGTGTATTATTAAAATGAAGTTCGTCAGGCGTTATTTATTTTTTTATTGCATTGTTTAGGCTGGAAAGTTGAGTCCTGCGGGAAGCACGGTTGCGAGTTGTCTCAAAGAGGTGGTACCCAGGGTGAGTTGTTTTTGTAGAGGCTCCTGTGTTTTTTCTACATCCCTTCGCTTTTGAAACTAGCATTTATTTCGTTGTTGGTTTTTGTCATAAGGAATTATAGAGACTAGCTGGCAGGATTGGAAAACACTTCTGGCAGTCCATTTTTTTTTCACATGTTTTACAAAAGTCACCATGCTTGTTTAGTTGGGACTAAATATAATTTGTTTTAGACAATTTTCCCATCTGGTAATGAAATTGGAGTAATTATTGGGAATTATTATTACTTCTGATGCAGGTTCTTCTTTACAAGGGTGCCTACCAGAATTGTGATTCCCACTGGCCCTTCCTTCCCCATGGCCCTGAAGAGTCAGGGGCTACTGAGACACAAATGGAATCTGTAAATAGCAGGTTTCCCTTTAAATGATAATTAAAAAAAAAACCAACACTGTGGTCTAAGTAATTTCCAAAATTGCTTCATTGATGGTGGAATTGCTGTGAATCAGGTTAAGGGTTTCTGAAATTTATAAGTGTAACATCTAGTTTTCATCAAGAACATGTGAAGTAGCTATTGTCCAGATTAAAAAAAAATAATAAATGATGGGAAGTGTTGGAACTTAGCCATGCTGGTTTGATAAAATTTGGTCTGGGTTATTTTGACCTTATGCTCACAGTATCAGCTTCTGCAGGAGCATATGCATGTACTACAGCCCTAAAGCATCCTCATATTTTGTTATTATATCTGGAATGACACAAATGTCTTCACATTTTCTTTTCATTAACGTTTTGTGTATGTCTGTTGTAAACTTGTTTTTGCTTTGCCTTGTGTATAGCCTGTTACTCCGACTGTTGTACGAAAGTTTCGAAATACAACAGATCCAGCTCCTGGTGCTAAAGTAATATTCTATGGTGCAGCAGACGATCCAGATGTTGCAACTCACTTGACACATGGCATAAAGTCAAACTCCAAACTCACTGTAAGACTGTGACTCATTTACTCTTGTTAAAGAATGAACCTCTTAAGAGTGTTCTTAATAAAAGCAGCTGATTTCCTCATAGTCAGGGATAAAGGTACATAGCTGAGTGTTTTAAACTGCAGCATTTCACAGCTGCTGTGGATTACCTGAGTTCTGAGGTCAAATCATAGGACTTACTTAGCATTATTGAAACTGGAAAATATTTGAAGTTCAGTGACTGTTATCAGTGATGTAATTTTTGTAGTGACTACTGAATTATTAATTTCATTTCAAGATTTAAGTTAATGAACAGTCTTCTTCCCAAGAATTTTGCTGCTTGCTTTTTCCAGGTCACAGAGATAAAATCAGCTAAACTCCTTGCAAAAGAGCTGTTATCTGAGAATGTCTTTACAGTTTGGTATAATTATTCTGTATGCTTTCTTACCTTTGGCTTGAAACTGATTTTTTTTTAGCTAAAAAGTGATGGTTTGGATATGCCAGACTATTTTGTGTTGTAATCTGTAATCAAACTGCTGAAGAGATCATTGGTAGTTTTATCACACAGTTATGTTCTTATCTCTAAAAATAGCAGTTGTGTTAGTAAAGTGTATTTTTATAAAGAAAGTAAGGCCTAGTATTAGAGGATATTGAGTAGGACATTGTCCTGGTTTAGGGCAAAATTTGGGAGAAAACCTCCAGTGGGGCTCCCCCCGGGAAGCAAACCCACGTGGCCCTTTTTTTTCCCACCCCCCAACCGGTTCGGGAAGAGATTTCTCTGAGAGAAGTGGAAAAAACCTGTTTATTTCACAGGCACAGCACTACCCAGCACAAAATGAATGATATCACATTACAAAACCTCTCGCCCTTCAGAAGAGATGACAAACTTCAGAGGGTCTCTTTCCTGTGGGTGTTCGCTCTGTTATCAGTCCCTCTGGCGCTGGAAAATGCCGCTGCCCAGGCTGGGCTCCCGGTAGTCCACGGGTGCAAGCTCCTGGGGCTCTCCCGCGTCCCAGTCCAGAGCAGGTTCGATTCGTTTCAAAAAAGGGAAAGAAAACAGTCCAGGAAGACCTCTCTGCTCCGGCTAGTTGGAAAGCCAAGGCGATCTGTGTCTTGTTGTCTGTCTGTGCTGTAGTCAAAACTCCCGATGCGGGGGGAGCAAGTACAGTCTCTGATAACAGACTCGGTGCTTCTTTTCCACTCACTTTTACTCTTAGATGGAATTTTAAGAATACAAAACCTGTGTCTGGGTTAGGTGGATGAATGGGGATACAATTTAACATCATAATCAACCCAGGACAGACATTTATTAGGCATATCCAAAATGAAAGACAGCCAGGTTTTGGTGTCCTTCCTTGGAAGCTTTGTGTTGAATGGATTGATCTGTACTGGATCTGTACTGGATTAGTCTGCGCTGTTTATTAAAGACTTTGCATTATTAATTACATATTATCTGTAGGAAGGGTCAGAAGCCTAGTCAGTTTTCTAAGCATGTCTTTGGATCAATTGTATTTGCTACTACTTTTTTTCAATATTTCTTTATGTAATGTTCAATGAGAGTCTAATAATAAATTTTCTCTAGTATCCCCATTACTTTGATGGATAGCCTGAAAAATCAAATCACTTCAGTTTTTGTCACAATATAATTTGACTATAGTTTCTAATATGTGCTAAGAAAAGAAAGACTGCAGTTAATAAAATGTATATATTAACAAGTGAAAAAACTAGCATAAAATAAAAATATCTCACAGAAACTATTTTATTTAGCTGGAAGTTTAGCATAGAAGTAGTTATTAGTGTTCTTCTCTCAAGACACAGTTTTGGTTTGCAGCTCAGTGGATAAAATTATATCAGTGTAACCATGAAAGATCTCATTACAACACTTATGAGCAAACTTTTGTTTGTGTAGGTAGTCATAGTGATGTGTGAATGATCAAAGTTTGTTGGTTTTCCTGCCTCTGGTGTTGTTTGTGATGTCTTCAGGTAGCTTCATTGATAAGTCCAGTTGCTAAGAGTGAATTTCAAGAAAAGATGCAAGACAGGAAAGAAGCAATTTACTCCAGTAAACGTGAAGCACCTTTGGGTAGATCACATGATCAATCTTCTAAGTTACCTGAGGGCTTGGATATAATCAATACTACATTTGGAATAAAAGTCTTCAAAGGTAGGAAAATGTGCCATTAAAACATATTTCCTGTAAATACAAGATAATCTGCAATTTATTATCTAGCACATGCTCTATGATTCCAACAACTCTGTTTTAAGAGAAGAGTTATTATATGACAGTTATTGCAAGGCCTAAAATTTTTCAGTTATGATGAAGAAACAAGCAGCTGAAAACATATGGTAACTAGCAGGGCTTTTGGCTCTTTTCCTGATCTGTCTTTATAGATTTCCTGGGAGAACTGCTTAGGTAGCTGTCAACTTCCTTTTCCCAGCAACTCTAATAGGCCTCATGGAAGGAACTTCTTTGGCATGTGTATCTTTCCTCCACAGACTGGAGGAAATCACATCTGTGTTGCCCGTGTAGCTTTCTTGCAAAAGTTCTGTTCATCTGGCTTTCTGTGATTCTCTCCCTAGTTCCATGTCATTATGTTATTAGATTGAATATAGATCGACTAGAAATGTTGTAAGAAGTATCATCCTTCCGCACTATTAGCAACTTCTCTAACAAGGTATTGTTTACAATTAAGAACAAACCAAACAAGACATCCGCCCCCTCTTAGTTCCCCCAGCTATACATTCTTTATTTGTTTCCAGATTTAACAGCTGGAGAGCTTCTAAATCCACCAAAAACTTTTGAGGAAGTGGATAAAGAAGCGAGAGAAGGACATAATTTGTATGTTCTGTCACATGAGGATTATTATGCGGGTAAGTTAAAAGGCTGATAAGAAGCCACATAAAAAGTTCCTCTACATGTGTTCCGTGCATACTGTGTGCTGTTTTGTGAGATGTAAACTATTAATTTTAACCACTGTAGTAATACAATATAGATTATTAAAAAAAATTATGTGAAAAAAATGCAACAGAGAGAGCATGATCCCAGTTCCTAAAACTATTGATCACTTCAGGATGGGCATTTAAAACAGTATAAGAACTTCATGGAGTTAAAATCCTGATTTCTTCTGGGAGCTGTTTGAAAAGCTAAATATTTCCAGGAAACTAGAAACTCACAAATACCCTGGTTGTTTACTGAGTTTGGCATTGTCTATGCCACTGGAAGCAATCTCAGATTTGAAGTCACAGGCTGAAAATACAAATTTTATCTGGTGTCGAGTTTTTTGTGGGTCTTGGGTCTTCAAAGAGACAAGAACAGTTGGTTGTTGTAAAGTTGTTTATTGTATGAATGCATCAGTCTCGAAGGCAAAGAGTTCAGAGTATTGAAGTCTGTGCTAAAAGCTTTCTGGTATAGAATCTCGATATTTTGAGCAGAAGTAACAGCAGCCACAGAAGCAGCAGTGTCTTCTTTCTTCTTCCTCGTGTGTTGTCTCTTTTCATCCTAATACAGGGGGATTTTATTCATAAATCATCCAATCAGCTAAAAACACGATTCTAAAACATTCTTTCTACGCCAATCTGAACTTAATTCTAGTGTACGAAAGTAGTGTCAGTTCTTACCTAAAATCTATTTTATTATCTATTATCTATTTACATAAATAGCTTTATCTGTTCTATCTAGAAGTACAAGCTATGTTTTCGTTATGTCTAGAGCTAAGTTAATTATGTAAAGGGTAGCACTACTGAACTTCAAACTAGGCTTTAGGTCTTTTTACTAGCTAACACAGTCTCTTAAGGCACTTAAGATATATTTCTACTTACTTAAAACTAAAACCTACACTCTTATTTCATGTCTATGTGATTTAATGTATTTCAGTTCCTTTCTCTCTCTGAGGGACTCAGAGAGCCTTCTATTTCATGTTCCAACAATGTGGAGACTCTTACATGGATATGAAATTATAGTACTTTGTTGTCTCACTAAAAAATTCTACTATTCTACTATAAATAATATTGGTATAAATTGGCCAAACCTGTAACTTTGTTTTCCCCCTTCCCTGCCTTCTTGGGTGTTTTAGTGGAATTACTCATTATCTGTCTCTTCCAATGTTCCTGATGTAACTTCCATCTACCAGATCATGGAGAGGCCAAGTCAGAAACAGTGACAGAAAAAAAGAGTCAACTATGTGCCCCAGCAATATTGTAAAAATCCCATGCTGCCAAACAGACTTATGAAGCCCTTATTAGAAAACATGGAGTGAATAATATTTTTTTTGACAGTTCTAAGTATCATTCTTTTTAAAATGTGGTTGAAAAGAACTTGAAGAATGGCAGTTTTTTCTGTGACAAAAAGACATAGCAAGAGTATATATGAAAATGAAGGACATCAAAAATTTTTTGCATTTTTTAAAAACAGTAAATCAAATGGTACATGTTTCTGAGGTGTAGATGCATGACCATCACCACTTACATGGTTTCATTTATTCTGTTGGGCTTGTCTTTAATCAAACGTAGAAGAACATCCAAGTGAAGCAGTTTTTGCTTTTTATTTTGCCTTTTATCTTCACTTTTGACAATTGGATTGTTCCTAATTACTCAATAAACAGGGGGAATGCAAGTTATTTATCTTTAATAGACTGGGTTTGTTAGTTATTTTCCTTTGTTTCTTCATTGTTTTGTCTTAAGAATGAAGATACTGGGTACATTTTTCTTCCTTAGGTGTTACACACAGGTTGAAATGCCTACTTCTTCTGCAGGGGAACCAATCAACAGGAAGTATAACTCACACTTCGACAAGTCTTTTGTTTATGGAATGGAAACCCCTCACTATGAAGATGGGCGAAATACAGCCAAGACCTTAAACTGGGTCTTGGACCTGGATTCGTAAGTTGCAATGAGTTAACTAGTTAATAAATGGGATGAATTATCAGGAAGAGTGGATCTTCAAATATGAAGAAAATTGTACATCTCACAATCCTATCCTTAGCTGTATTAAACTGAATAGAAAATGCAAGATGTGATTATCAGTACAGTTTATGCAAATAACTTTTACCATATAACAGCACTTGGTCTTAATCATTATGCAAAGATTTTAAGTAGCAAGATATTTAAATTACTAAGTTGAGAGGAGTTGCTGTTTTTTTCTTATTATATAATAATATTTTAAAATATTATTGAAAAACTTTTGAATATTTTTAAACAAATATGTGCAGAGTTATTTTTGTAATTTTTAGGAAGAGAGCACCACACCTTGTGTCAAAAAGAAGCGATGATTTCAAGGAAAAATTCCAGCCTCTGGTTGGAAAAACTTTTGATCCGTAAGTAAGCAAAATATCTTCTGTTAACTAATAGATCAAGCACAAAATTCACTCACTTTTGCCATTTCTCCAATATCTTTTTATGTCTTGGATAAAAAATATAACTGTGTGTTTAATGCTTCCAGTGCAGCACACATTAAATAGAAAAGGACCTTCTACCTGCCCTAATTAGGCTGATTACAAGTTGCTAATAAGGGCTGTACTGTGTCCATGTAGTAAAGTTAGATCTTACTGTTTAAGTGGTCTGTATCTGACAAGCACTCTTTAAAGACATTTTTCTCCTTTATTTTGCTATTAGGAAGGTTTGAAAGGACTGAAACATCTCACCTAATGTTTTGGGATTCAACCATTTTGCTTAATCTGACACTATTTTTGGTCTTCTTCATTACATCATCTATAATCTCACTTTATTTCTTCCTTGGAAAAGGATGTGGAACTACATTGTGTTATTCTCTAGCAACATTTACCAATCTCTGTTAAATTATTAGAATGACTGACCTTTATGAAGTGATCTGGAAAAGTTTTGTAATTTTACAGAAGAGTGCTTAAGAAGCACCACAGAATTCATAAGGTACAGTGGAGTTAGGTTCCAGATGTACAAATCTAGGGCTCCTGAATGTATCCAAAGGTTGTCTTTGCAGATGCTCTAGATTTCTGCAAAAATATGTCTGAAGGCTCACTAAAAGCACGATTGATTTTGGTAGCAAAACTTAGTTTTGAACTCAAGATCTCAGACTTGATCTGGAGAAGTGTTCCCGTAAGTACATGTGTGGAGCAATCACAAATAGAGTCAGTTTCTTCTCTCCCCTTCACTGTGTCCCAGCTTACTGTGAGATAGACCTGGAGCATGAGCAATGTGAAGGAAGCAGTGTGGTCAGAGATGGGCTGCAGTGCAGGCTGAAACCCAGCACTAATATTACAAGACAGACACAGGCTATCTTAATTTTATTTAGTGAATTTTAAGCTATCCTCATCCTATTTGTGATATGAAAATGATAAAAGAAAAACATACATAGTAGTTTTTAGATTGTGGTGTTACCATTTCTCTGTGTGTGTTTTTGTTTGTTCAGTGCTTTAGAACAAAGCACTGATTATCTTTTCAATTCTGATGAGGATTTTTTGATTCAGATGTTTTAATTATTTAATTACTGAAAATAAAATGAGCATTGCATCTTTTTTAAATTAAAAAAGGAAACAATTCTTTAATTTCACAAACAGAATCTTCAATTTTTGGTGAACAGAACTGAGCCAAGTTTTCTGTATGGATATGGGTTTGGTTGCTGGTTTTGGTAGACATGAAATTGCTTGTGGAAAAGCAGAGATGCAAATCATTTTTTCCACTTTAGCCAGACATAGTTTATTTTAGACATTTCAGTTGGAGATTTTGTCTAAATATTCCTATTGTTTGACTACAAGGACTCTTCTCATACATTTCTATAATTTTCTTTGGAAAAATGGCATAGGATGTTTTTCCTTTTAATGAGCATAAATGTTAAAAAAGTTTATATTTGGCTGTGTTACATTACAAACAGTGAATGTTCTTATCAGCTTTGTAAAGGGATGCTTTTTCTGGAATGGTAACGTTGAAACGAAGTCCTGGTAAAAAAATTTCAGGTGAACTATGACTGTCACCCCGTTACATAATTGCTTCTTTTTTAATAGTAGCTGAGGTTTTATTTTGGCAATTAATAAACTGTTTGACAATTAACAAAAAAATGTCCTTACTGACAGTATAGCAGAAACTATGAATGTTCCCCCAGACCATACCTTTGGATTGATGATCCCTCCAGATGAATATGGTAAGTTTAAGGGCAGAGTAAAATCTTGTTTTGCTGATGAAACTGCTGAAGTAATAACTGTTGGTTGTATATACAGTTTTCCTAAAATTTTAGAGGCAAGGTACAAAAATATATTGACAGTAAATTTTTGAAATGAAAATTTGAGTGCTTTTGAAGTTGCTAGTGGGAAAAAAGTAAATGTCAAAAATAAAGAAGCTTTATGTTTGGGATTATGATCATGCTGGTATTTTTTTTTTTTTAAAGCCTTAGTATCTGAATGTAACAAAATGGGAAGTGGCAGAAAAACCCTTATTGACATCAAAGTGACAAATTAAAATGGCTATTTAAATCAATCATGCATCTTCCCTCTCAATGATTTCTCAAGCACTTCTGTAAAAAGAATAAAAATAACAAGCAATAAATAGGAATAGGTTTTTGAAGGTTGCAAGGAGATAGAAAGCAGAGTAAGAATAAAAAAAAAATAATTAATTTTCATTATGACAAAATTTTGAAAGCTGGTCAACTCAAATAGTCAGTGTTGGGATTGATGATGTTTTAACATTATGTTTAATAATTAGGGAATGCAGTCAATAATTGGGAAGCAAAAAAATGAAGTGGATCAAAGTCATTCAGTTAATCTGGGCCATAGAAAGCTTGCATAAGCTTTTACATGTTTTACATTTTACTATGTAGTGTATTGAAGTTCATGCTATCAGGAAGAGCAGAAGGAACTGAACAAAAGAATTCATAATAAATTCAGAATTAATAATTAAGTAGAAAATAGTGCTTGTACACTGCCGTTAGAGGGGGATTAGGTGAGCTACTCATGTTTGTTACTGAGCTCTGAATGAACTTCTTGCACTCTAGAAGGTGACCTTGGCATCTTGGGAATTTGGATGAAGATTGTAGCTCAGTGTGCTAAAGTGTTTTAAAACACTAATAATGTTAAGATACATAGAAAATGGGAACAGTAACATAAAAATAGTGCATTGTCTTTCTAGAAACCAATGATATATAATTATCCAAAATACTAAATTGGCTCTCATAAGTATCTGGAACATGACAGACTGGAAGTGGTAGATTAATAAAATATGTTCTTTTTATTTTCAATTATCTGGACATTGAGTAACAACTACTGATTTTAGAAGCTTTGGAAGCAGTGGATAGATTTGTGAAGCTACATTATGATGTTCCAAAATCTTTGATGCTAACTGTGTGTGTGTAGAGAAATAATGATATGATACAATTTGATCTTGTAATGAAATGTCTGTATCACCTGTTCAGCAGTGCTGAAAATCAGCATCTTGAAACTGAAATTCTCCTTTTCTTTATGAATGCAAGCTTTTCTATTTTTTTAAATAAATATCTGTTTATTGTAGATACACAACTAATTGAGGAATTGTTAATTTTTATAGATGTTCATGATCTTCTTCATGACCGGGTTCCATGTGAGTTCCTACGTGGGAAGGGCAGAGAAAGAGTTATCTTGATTGCAGTTCGGCAAAGTCTGAAGAAAGCTAACTATGAGAATTTTGATGTGTTACTAGAAGCATTAAGACATTTTGATAAGGTTAGTGCTTTGAAAAGGTGTAAATGTAAAGAAATGTGTGACATTAGTGCTCCTGTGCTATAGAGATACAGACATGAAGAAACACAAGCATAGCAAGGTTAATATGGATGAAGACTATAACTGTGAAGATAACTTCATAGTTACTGTATGTTTCATCTACTGTGATATGCTATGGAATTGGACACAAGACTATTTGGAGCTTTTCATAGTATCATTTGGAATATCCAGGTTAGAGGGAGCAAGGGACACACTATCAGGAGTCATCTTAACAATTTTTGGATTTCAAAATCTGGCGTTTCTTTGTAAAGGGAAAACAGTGGAAGGGATTATGTTCGTATTTTCTTCCAAGCTGTACCTTTTGACTGAGTTGCCAAGCATCAGAATTCAGACATTTTCTTTTTTTCTCTCTGGAAAAGAGTTGTAACTGACATTTCATATATAACATTAATTGTAATGTATACAGAATGATTGATGTCTTACTTTTAAAGACACCTTGACTTTTCCTCAACATTCATGATTAGATTGTTATCTTGTCACAATAGCCTGTCACACCTTTACTCTCAAATCTGTATTATTTAAGTTGAAAATTACTTTTTGACACTTTTCTATTCAGACTTCTAATTTCTTAAATTACTTAGGGTTTATTTTTGTACTCAGAAATATTACTTTCCTTGAAATGGTGTGTCTGGTGCTATTTGTATATATATCTATATATCTATCCGTATGAATACATACGTGTTTCTTTTGCTGGTTACTTTATGATGGCTGTTAGAGAATCATAGACTATAACAACTGTTTTATTTTCTTTGTAATAGAATGGTGATGGAATCATACACAAGGACAACCTACGAAGGATCTTTTTTCAGCTGAATGTGAATCTAGATGATGGGCTCCTGGATTCCTTATTTGACTGCTGTGATTTGGATAAGGATGGTCTGATTAATTACCAGGACTTTGCAAACTTTCTGAACTGGAAAGATAAAATGGGTGTTAAAGAGTTTGAAGAAAAAATAATTACAAAAGGTAGATGCCTTAATACTGGGAAATTGTGGGGATGATCTGTTTCTTAGAATAGAATTGAAAGGACGTTGATGTTGTAAACTAGGTGCGCCTTTAGAAGGGTAGGATTTAGAGAGTGATTTAATTACCAGCAAAGTCTCAGGTACAGATGCATTTCAGAATCCTGGATTTCTGTGGTGCATGCTGAGATTGTCACTGGGAAGTTTCCTTAATAATACAGATCAACAGGAAGTAAAACATCCCTAGAAGCGTTATCAGAAATGTAGATGAATTATGTAACGTCCTTTACAGTTCTTCAAGAAAAGTTTTTTGCCTCTTAGTGTATAATGTGTTGATAATATGTCTTGGCTATACCAAAACTTTTGTATATAGGGAAAAAATTAGATGCCTGTCTTCACAAAGACACAAAGAAAGAGGATGAGCCACTACCAGAACAGGAAGATCTCAAGTTAAAAGAATCAGGAAGCTCAGAAAAAATGCCAAAACCACTTAGAAGATCAACAGACCGTGTATATACAAATTATCAAACAACATCTTCTCAGTATAATGCTGTCGTAGGTGGTATCCCAACATCCTGTAAGTACAGTGGACTGTTCTGCTCACTTATGAGCATTATTTAAGACAAAATTAGGAGCAAAGTTAAGTATTGCTACAGGTTCTACTAATGTAAAATAGTGAATTACTTTAAGTTTTTTTTAAGATTGAGACTTGGAAGTTGGAAGGGATAGTCTATTCAAAACATTGGAATTAATATAGATGTATTTGAGAAATTATGCTGGTAATTTTGGGAGAACCATATCTCCTTGTAATCACCTAAAATACTTTCAGCTGGGAATACTAAGTAGGTAAGTAAGTACTAGTATATTACTTCAAGATTCCTTGTTTTCACACTTCATGATGTAGCTGAAGCCAGGATTTCTAAAAATGCAAAAAAAGTTACGAGGAAGAAAATTATATAACTTGTTATTGAACCTATGTCAAGCATCACATTTCTTCTTATTTAATGCAAAATGTTTTATCCTCCCTGGCACTATTTATCCATGCTGCCTGTTGATTGATTTTCACAGGTTATCCATTGTGTGGTGTTCCAACTGTTCGTTCGGATATTCCTGCTCCTCGAATTCGCCGCCTCAGTGACACAACTAATTATGGTGACCAGGGCAATGGTTTTACAGTATTGTTCCCTTCTGTCTTCAGTCAAAAGGGAGTGTATGAAAAAGATCTTTTAAAAAACAGACCAAAAGCAGAGGTATAGTGAATTTCTTCAGAATATTCTTCCAAGATAATTGTTCTGCTAGCCATGTGGGAGTGGGAAGTCATACCAGCAAGTAAACAGGCAGTAAAATTCATAGTGCAACATTTCCATCTTGCTTTACATCCATTCAGCTGAAAAATATGTACTCTTCGCATTTGAAATTATTAATAAAGATGGTAGATATTAATTTTATTGAGATCCAACCTATTCAAATTTCTGAGCAAGATCTCAAGCAACATGGTTTAATTGTAAAGTTAGATTATATCATTGAATGAATGATTTCCAGAGATCTCTTCCAATCTAAGTTATTCTATGATTCCATGAAATGTCTTAAAAAGCCGTACAAAAAGATTTTTACAGGTGTATAAAAATAATTTCTATCACAGAGGGGTGTTTAGTGGAAAATTTTACCAGGAGCGTCTCTCCTTAGACTAACTTGGCAGGTTTTGCTAATGACAAATTCAGCAAATCACTTGAAAGCACCTTGAAAATAAGTCATAGTTGTAGGCGCAGATCTACAAAGGATCTGTACAGTGATGGAGGACATTGGGAGTCACACAGCAATGCTGTGCTGTCTCATAATTCTGAAGACAAACATGGGATATGAGACTCTAGGGACTTGGGGACTCCATGATTTTTCTGATATATCTTCAGCCTCCTTTCACTCTCTTTTCTCACAAACCAGAGTTTCTTTCACATAAATACTAAATCAACTTTGCTGCTTCCTCTTCAGTATTGTTTACCACTATTTTATACTTGGGTACAATTTATAGTGAAAAAATATTGAGAGAGAGTTTTGTTACCTGCAATACAATTTATTAGACAATTGTAATGAGATGTGAAATTCCAATCTGAAATGAGAAAAGAAGCTGTGGAAACCTCTTCCTCTCTGCTTCTCATTATATTAAATATTCAGCAGTCATGTTTGGAAGTGGATCTGGAACTTGAATATATATTTTACAAAAAATAGCGTTGCTAGTTAGTGACTGGGGGTAAAATGTGTGGTGTCATGCTCATCAAACGCCTTGTCAGAATGTTGCGTACATGAGCATTTACCACTTTATAATCTAGCTCTGAAAGCAGGAAATGCGTGCATGCAGCAAATAGCTAACAGTAAATGGAATTCATGCTTCATTGAGAAGTCAATTACATCTGCCAATTACATCTGTCAGGCACTAGATAGGACTATTCTTTGAAGTTACATGTCCTGAGATGTCATACTCTATTGTAGACTACACCAGCTATATAGAATTCAGTGCAGAACCACCTCTGAGTGTTAAAACACCCTATGTTCATGAAATCGGCTGTTTGGACATTTCATAATTATTGTTTTGATATGTATAATTAATGTTTCCAAAACTTTCATGGTTAATAAAATTATTATAAGATTATATGATATTATTATTAGATGAAAGCCCAGAGTAATTTAATACCGTGTTTGTATAATGTGGTAGAAATGAATGCAAATTCTGACTATAAAATAGTTTCATGAGGTGACTCATCTTGTTGGAAAAGAACAAAGTAGTTCTTGGGATTGCTGTTTTTTTCACTGAAATTCTCTCCAGTCTCTTGAAGAGAATAGAAGTTATGTAATTGAGGAATAGTGTGTAATTTGTATGCAGCATGATCTTGTTGATCATAGGTGAAAGTGAGTTTTATCCTGACTGTACGCAATGTTTTTAGTTTCCATGGTTTGGTCAGTGATGATTTTACAGCAGCTGATGAGTCAGGACAGAGTTGTCTCTTAATATGGTGAAGCCAAATTAAGAGCGCATGTAGTCCTTTATTCTCCCTGCAGTGTTGTCCTATGAAGGAATATTACTTTTAATTTAACTTTTATATTTCACTAGCTTGTTGAAGACACTGGATTAGATCTGGTTTGCTTTACTTGTGGGTAATATGATGGATTTAACTGAAACAATACCTATGCTTAAAGAAACAGTGTTCGGTCCCTTTTTACCTCCTGAAATTTCAGCATGCACAAACTCTCACAGATTTATTGCTTAAAATGAAGCTGAAGATTTGCTGTATGGGGGATCAGGCCTATATTTGTACAAAAGACAGTTTTAGAGAAAGATGATCAACAAGGTTGATTTGACTGTGTTAAAGATCTTTATCAAAGCATGCATAAAGTATCCATAGCATAAATATAGCACACATGTACACACACATACATGATACAATTGAAGAAACCAAATGTTTGCTGATACTAACAGAGGCACAGGGCACATCAATATTCTTCTAAAGTTACCTTCCGCTAATGAGTCAACAGGTCAATGTAATGAGGCATGCAACAAGAAGCACCCAAGTGAGAAAATATGGGAAAAATCCCTTCTGCTGAATTATTTTGGTGTAAAAATTATAGCAAGGCTCAAAGTTGATGTGAACCATTCCATTTTAGTCACATCACCCACTTGTCTATACCAGCTGATGACCTTGTATATAGTACTCTTGCTGTGAAATGCAGATAATATAATCTGACTTATGTTGGTAACTGCAGACAGCAAAAAATGGAGTGGATAAACAGAACTTTACTTAGGGCTTTTAAAAAACATTTACTTTTCCCTGAGTCTTCTGTATTTGATTTTTTTCACAGTGTTGAAGTAGTGCATCAACATTACTGTATTAATTACAGACAATTTTGTACAACTTTCATTGCAATAAGATTCAGATTTACTTAAATAGGAACTTCCTTCGTTAAGGATGCAGGATGTGGCCTGTAGTTTTAATTTAAGAGTGGGAAAATATTCTTTGGCAAATAGAGATTGCTAAATATGTAAAAGCCAGACACTGTATAATTTAGCAAAATGTTGATTAGAATTACATGAATTGCATTATTTTGTATTATTTTTGTAGATTAAACAAATTCTCCACAATATGGGCATGAATGTTGCAGATGAAAGGTTTGAAGAAATATGGAAGCAAGTGTGTACAAAACATGAGATAAAAGAGCTTTGTGATTGTGAAGAAAGTATGTGGAATATACTGAATAAGATACATGAATCACGCATAGAATTCTAGTCTCTGATTCTAGTCTTTGGGCACTGCTTTTATTTAACATCAGTCATAATTCTGATGCTGAATAAATAATAAACAATAAATATTTATGTGTGTATTGTCTTTCTGAGTAGTGGGTTCACCTCATATATATGAATCATTGAAGTTGGTAAGAACTGGTATTCATGCTTGTAAATGTAATAAAAACATTTATATTCCATTTTGCATTTTTTTAATTAACTTTTTCTCTTAGAGAAAGGCACTTTTAAAACTAGTAAAGATAAGTGTTTCAGATATCCAAGGCCTCTCAAAGATTATTATCATATAATGGCATTTTCTCTTTCCTCTCATGTTCCATAGTTCTTGTCAACAGAGAAATGGTTGTGACAAAGTATCTGAGATGTTTGGAAGTTCATGCTATAAAGTGCTTTACAGTAAAATAGTAAGGAAGGTACATAGCAATAGGTGTGGGATCCAAAGTGTTGTCATGAAAGAGACTCCATAAAAACCTACAGGTTAAGAAGGACCAGAAATGAATGTCCAGTTGTGTGGCAGAGGGCTCCTATTCTTTATTCAAGCTTCTGACTATTACTTTGTAGTATTCAGCTTTCACTATGAAGAAAAAAGAATGGGTATTGAGAGGTGTTTATGTAATAAACGTTACATAAAAGTGCAGGCTGAGTAGTCAGAAAAGTTTGTGAGGTCTTTCAGAAAGCCAGCTGTTCATCTGTGACCAATGTGGTTTCTTGGGAAGAGGGAGAGTCATTAATGGAAAACACTTAAAGATTATTATGCAAGTCTCAATGAGTACATATAAAGTCTAGTAAGAATAAACAATAAGTAATACTAAAACCTGCAACTATGAGTTGGAATGTTCACTGTTCTTCTATAGTACTGAACTTTGGTGTAAAACAGATGGAAATTGTTCACTATTAACAGTGAGAAATATTACTTCTAGACTTTCAAATTCAAAAGAAACATCCTTGACCAATGTAATCTTAACATACAGGATTTCAAGAAGGATGTTACTTCATCACCTATTGGTGCTTTAAATACCTTAATAAGATTTGAAGAATGTTGCCAAAAAGCATTACTGAGTTTTACAATGGAAGTAAAGGTTCTGTTTTGTTAAATACTAGAAATGCACATGTAATGCCAGGTTTAAATTTTACTATAAAACTCTCTTCTTGTGTTTGTTAAGATTTCTCTTTTGCCTATGTTCTAGGAGGTGGTCATTTACATGTAACTAGCTTTTTATATGAAATCTGCAAGCCAGACCCTTTTGTGCATTATTTTTGTAGCATTAACAGTAGCTGTTTTACATCAAGTAGAAAGAGTTTGCTTTCTGGTATCTCCAAGGTGCAGGTAGTGGAAATGCTGATTGATGAAGGCAACTTCTTTCCTGCTGTGAATGAATATTCTGCACTGTTGCTGCCTTGCCCCCCCATCCTTCTGGAACTCTACATGCACTCAGAAGCATGCAGGAAGCTGACTGACTGTTCCAAGTGGAATCATGACAGAAAGATAAATGTACAGATAATTACAATTGAATTTATTATGTTAGACTTTTACCACCTTCAGTGAAATCCTCTAAAGCTTCTTTTCTGCTTACATTTAGTGGAAGAATACTTCTTTGTTGCAGCTAACTTTCAGTAGCATTGGAGAGAATTACTTTAGAAAAAAACCAAGTATTTTTCCTCTTCAATAGAAAATTTTAGATGAAATATTCAAGCTCACTTCAGGGGAAAATTAAAAAAACTTACTGGATCTGTGTATGTGTGTGTGTACATGTATATGTATGTGTATATATATGAGATCTGTTGTGTTTGTTCAGCAGCTTGAAATTCTGTGAACCCTATTTTTTTTTAATCTACTATAAAGATACTTACTTGTGCTCCTCTACTTTCAGTAGAATCTTTTCCTTTGTCAATAAAATGGAATTAATGTTGTTCTTGGTCAGTCTGCTAAATAAGTTCTGAATAAAGAAGACTGATAAATCACGGTTTACTTTTTTGTGAGTATATTTGTAACCACAGACTAAAGATTTTCTTTCAGGTTCGGGTTTTAAATTACCCCTCTGGAGCTTTAAAAGATAAATTACTGAAAAGAGCTGTAAATTCTGCTTTTAGGTGCTTGTTTTTCATCATGATACTCATTAGGAAGGCCCTGAAAGATTTAATCACTGTGACACAGACAGAGACTTCTCAGGAGTTTCCCAATTCTTTTGCTTCCTTTTATTAAATACTTTGTGTACACAGAGCTTTGTGCAGATTTTTGTGTTTCATGTCTGACTTCCCAAGCTGTGAATTCAATGACATGTTTTTAGGCTTTAAAGCTGCAAGTTGTGTTCTGTATTTTTTGTGGTTTCCTCAATATATTCCAAATGACAGAAAATATAAGGTTTGCTTTCTTCTGTATTTCAGTGTGATTCTAGGCATGGAGTAGGTGTAACCAGGACAGCCCATTACCTTGTACTAAACCAGGGGCTGTATCCAAGGTAAAGTTTTTGGGAAGAGATGTGAAAACAACTCAAAAGCCATGTGTTCTAAGAGCATATGTATAAATTTAGTGCTTGAGGCAATTTATTCTGTTAACAGTTGTATTAATAATCCCATGTTGACTGAGACGGTGGACAAAACTAATAAAAAGCAAACTGTAGCGAAAATTGTTAAAAATTGGTGAGTTCTAGACATTTGGAGTCAAATTTTCTTAATGGAATTTTTGTAAATATCAACACTGGATAAAACACACAGCACATTCAGATACTTGTGCATTATTTCACTATTAATCTCTGTTTCACTGTGATGAGTATTCAAAAAAATAATGTATTTGATAATGATACATTTTTAATTGGTTCTGTCAAATTAACAAAGTTCATTTTAGAGCAGATATGTTGGTTTCCAGGAGCGGAGCAGGGAGCTCTTCCTATTTACAGCGATAGAGGCAAATGTTTGGTACTCCCCAAAAGCCATGACAGGGAAACTGACTTTCAATACCTAAAGACACCTGTAAAAGATAAGACTGAAGATTTGAATGTGCAAAATTACTTTTCATTCATTCTGTACTTCTGGCTCTTTAGAATGTGAATATTAGCATATATAAGAATGTGAATATGAATGTACACAGTGGTATGACTTATTTGGCAGTGACTTATGCTAAGTAAAGCAGATGTTGGATTTGATTATTCTGTTATTATTACAGTAATTATTTCAGTTTTCTGATGAAAAAAAAGATCTATGCAATGACTTTTGTTTGAGCTGCTGGAAGATCCATCCCACTGTCTTCCATAGAAATGTATGTACAAATAAATGTAGGCCTTTCCTTGATATTATTACTAGATAACATTATTGTGTCTGTCTTAAAAATATTTAGTATTTTTGTTCTATACATCAAGAACTACTGGTTTTCAGTCATTTATCTGATCAAGTAAATATCCTGGTCCTTGAACTGATTCCTTGAAGTGAATAGCCAGTTTTGTTTGTTTATTTGATTTGGTTTTTAAACAGCTGTATATAATTATTTGTGTGCTAAATAGAATGCTAATAATCTCTTATACTGAGTACTTGAAGTGGATGTCTAAGCAGAAAAGATACTGGGGAAAAGTGCCTAGAAAGATGATTAAAGTCTTTGTGTTGCCAACAGATAGGAGCAGGTATGATGTTTTTGGATGACTTAGACAGTCTAATTAGTTGATGTTTGCCATTAGGATGCATTTCTTTGGACAGTAGTTATTGCATTGACAGTCTGTCCTGGAGAAACATCTGCCTGTGTGGCTTCACCTTGCTGGATGGCACTTTTCTAGCAGCTAGGTACAGGTTTAGGCATGCCAGAGAAATACTAAATGCTACCATGGTTGAGTAGTTCAAATAGGATCTATATTTCTTTACTACTCTTTAATACCCTGCTAATTTTGAAGGTGCCAGGATAGATTATGCAAAACTGTAGGAAATATTTTGGAATCTTTGATCAGGACTAATCTGCAAGGGGAAAGGTAGTTAAAGCAGTCGCCGCTATGCTCTCAATTTCCTACCATAGATGCTTGCTGATTTCTGCTAGATGTGTGTGGCTTCTCTGAGGCTTGGAGGATGTAGAGAACTTGTGCATCCTGGGTCCACATTCTTACTTCCAAATGGGGACATTTATATTCCTGGAGACGCAGGTATGCGCAGCGGTGTTCTGAGATTATAACCTAAGAGATGAAGTATTAAATTCTATAATAACTAAAGAGTAGATCTGCTATATTCTGAATGTTTTTAAAGCTCACTCCTCATTCCAGGGCCTAGATATAGATGAAAATGGCAAAACTAAGACTTCATCTGAAAGAAAAGAGAACCTGAGTACTACTGACAGGTTTTAGTTGTGGCTTTTGTGAAGGCTCTATTCCTCTAGTAATAAGGATCATATGTTCTGTATCCTAAAAAAGAAAACCAAACAATCCTGTGTGTGGTATATATGCACTAGATAAGGTTCAACCACACAATCAGATCAAAAGTAGACAGAGGATCTTAAGAACATGTACTTTTAGAAATGGCTTTCCTATAAGCCTTGATATTTTCTGCAGATTCTAGAAATTGTCAAGTATTTTTTTGAACCTAGGATGGAACAAAGGACTGAAATAAGAGTGAAGGGTTTTCAAATGGTACCAGTAAATTACAGGGTGAATTTTTATTTTTTTTCAGTAGTTTTCAACAGATTTTACAGACAGATACACACAATCCCATATGACTGCTTTACTAAAAGTGTGTTCTCCAGTGCATGACAAAATTTAGTGCTTTTTGCTTGTGAGCAATGAATATAACATGGTAATGTAATGAGTATCTGCACAGGGCAGCAGAGTTCTATCTAGCCCATCGTGCCAACTGACAGTGGTCAAAAACATGTGTATGGAGAAGTAGCCCATCAGGGCAAATGTTTCAATGTTTGTTCCAAGCAGTCTCACAGTGCTCCAGCTACTTGAGCCTCTAGTGGTTGAAAGAAAGGAAGACCTTTTCTGAGAAGCATTCTTAACATTCAATGATCTTAAA